GGTTCAGGCAATTCTCCTGCCTCAGCCTCCTGAGTAGCTGGGATTACAGGCACGCACCACCATGCCCAGCTAATATTTTGTATTTTTAGTAGAGACGGGGTTTCACTATGTTGACCAGGATGGTCTCGATCTCTTGACCTCGTGATCCACCCGCCTCGGCCTCCCAAAGTGCTGGGATTACAGGCTTGAGCCACCGTACCCGGCCTGGTAGAGAATATTTTACCAGATCATTCTAAAACAGGAGTAATGGAGTTTTCCTCCCTTTATTCCACCTCTTCAAAAACCAGAACTTGCTCCGTTCAACCAACAGGCATACACTGGGTGCCTTCAATATGCTCGAGGGATATTTATGAGGAATATGATAGCATGGTCTTTGTCCTTGAGAAAATTCTTTTATAGGAGATTCAATAAATAAGCAATACAAAAATTGGAGCAAGGCACGTGGAACACTTTGATAAATAGGACAGGACTTCCTACCTCGAGGAGGCTCTAAAGAACAGAGGTTGATATTTATATAATTACTAACAGCCAACTTCTTTTTTTTTTTTTTTCTTTTTTCCTTTGAGACTGAGTTTCCCTCTTGTTGCCCAGGCTGAAGTGCAATGGCACGATCTCAGCTCACCGCAACCTCTGCCTCCCAGGTTTAAGCGATTCTCCTGCCTCAGCCTCCTGAGTAGCTGGGATTACAGGCATGCGCCACCACACCCAGCTAATTTTTGTATTTTTAGTAGAGACGGGGTTTCTCCATGTTGGTCAGGCTGGTCTTGAACTCCAAACCTCAGGTGATCTGCCCTCCTTGGCCTCCCAACGTGCAGGGATTACAGGGGTGAGCCACCGTGCCCAGCCAAAAGCCAACTTCTAGCCATTCCTCCTACCTTGAAAGGATATGAAACTTGATTGACTCATTGGGACAGAATGTTTGCTTCCAAGAGCCAGTATCATTTTAAACGTGCACCAAAAGCTCTATCGTTCCTCACAGAAAGCAGACAGTATTCATAGCTACACACTGCAAAACAGGAACTGTCCCTGCTACAGAAACCCAAAATATATCCAGACTTCTTGTGACAAGTTGGAGAGCTCAGCAGTGATATCATTTGCTAACAATAGATGCACTTAAAATTAATGACCATCTCCACATCCCCTGGCACTTTAATTTAAAACACACTCTAGCAAGCACAGAGAATATTTCTCTGACTGCAAGGCACAAGCAATACGGACAATATGTTCCCGAGAAGCAGGCAGGGATAGTGCCCTACCTCCTTGACCAGAAAAAAAAAAGAAAAATGACTAAGTGAGCCTCACAAAACAAGACCTTGGGGAAATCAGAAGTGGCTCGCAGCAGGGAAATTTGGGGCAAGAGCAATTCTCCTCTGGACACACAGGACTCCTGGAAGTGCCCCACTTCTCAGATGCATAGGTGCACATACCTCGACCTCCTTCCCCCATGTTAACCCCTGGGCTCTTCCCGCTGTTCACAGCATAATATCTGAACCTCTTAACTTGCTTTAAAGGGTCTTTCACATGTGACTTGCTCTACACTATGAGTCTTCAAAGAGGGTCAGGGGTTGTGTGTATGTGTTTTGTGTGTGTGTGTGTGTGTGTGTGTGTGTGTTTGTTTTGTTTTTCTTTGAGACAGGGTCTTGCTCTGTTGCCCAGGCTGGAGTGCAGTGGCATGATCTTGACTCATTGCAACCTCTGCCTCCCGGGTTCAAACGAGTCTCCTGCCTCAGCCTCCCGAGTAGCTGAGGTTACAGGCATGCGCCACCACGTCCAGCTAATTTTTGTATTTTTAGTAGAGATGGGGTTTCACCATGCTGGCCAGGATGGTCTCGAACTCCTGACCTTGTGATCTGCCTGTGTCATCCTCCCAAAGTGCTGGGAGTACAGGCGTGAGCCATCGTGCCCAGCCAATCCTTTTTTTTTAAAGACAGGTCTCACTCTGTCACCTAGGCTGGAGTGCAGTGGCACAGGCAGAGCTCACTGCAGCCTTGACCTCCCCGGCTTAAGCAATCCTCCCACCTCAGCCTCCCAAGTAGCTAGGAGCACAGGTGTACATCACCACACCTAGCTAATTTTTCTATTTTTCATAGAGATGAGGTCTTGTCATGTTGCCCAGGCTGATCCTGAACTCCTGGGTTCGAGTGATCCTCTCACCTTGGCTTCCCTAAGTGCTGGGATCATAGGCATGAGCCACTGCCCCTGGCCTCCACATGGTCTTTGAAGGATTTGTGCCTTGATGAGGTTAAATCCTGTGACAAGAATGGTTCATAGAACCCACGCCTAGCTTGGGTCAGTGTTTTCACATTTATCTGCAATGAGATGCATCTGTCCCCCATAGCTGTCTACACATTACAGATGAGGAAACTGAGAGACAGAGGTTGTCTGAAGTTTTTTTTTTTGAGAGTCTTGCTCTGTCGCCCAGGCTGGAAGGCAGTGGTGCGATCTCGGCTCACTGCAACCTCCGCCTCCCAGGTTCAAGTGATTCTCCTGCCCCAGCCTCCCAAGTAGCTGGGTCTACAGGTGCGTGATGCCACACCCAGCTAATTTTTTGTATTTTTAGTGGAGACAGGGTTTCACCATGTTGGCCAGGCTGGTGTCAAACTCCTGACCTCAGGTGATCTGCCTGCCTTGGCCTCCCAAAGTGCTGGGATTACAGGTGTGAGTCATCGCGCCCAGCCTGAGGTTGGTTTGTTTGTTTAAAAAAAAAAAAGCAGTGTGAGAGAACAGGGAGGAGAGTTAGTGTCCTCAGAGTTTATGAGAGAACTAGGTCAAGAGGCTGTGCCCTCAGGGGAGTGTTTTAAGACTGCATGTTCTGGAAAGCTCTGCATGTGAATCCGGGAGTAATGACAGGCTGGCTGAGTAGGGACCTATCATGAGCCCAGGCCAGTCCTGCTACATTTCCCATCTTCCCCTCCCTGCCTCAGGCTGGGGAAAAAAAAAGCACTGAAGCCTTTTCCAATTTCCAGATGGATCCTTCCCCAAAATACCGGTGGAAGAAGAGAAATTGCTAAGCAACTGCCAAATGAGTTTTACCTTCTCTTTTCGCAAACTGTAATCTTTATTTTTAATTTGGTAAATGTTTTTCTGGCCAAGGTATTCCCATGGAACTCAGCTCTGAATGGCCAAGGAGATTTGTTTTTGGAATGATCACTGCTGATTCCGGGAAAGACTATTTTTTCATTTGGATTCAGCAAAACCAGGGGTGTCCTAAACAGTGTTTGATTCGATGTTATATATTTCCTGTCAGTGAATGGGGAGGAGTTTCCTTTTGGCTGAGGGGTGCTGCCTGGTACTGAATTTGAGTTGTTTTCTCTGTCAAGGTGAAGAGGTCACTGGCTGGGCGCGGTGGCTCATGCCTGTAATCCCAGCACTTCGGAAGGCTGAGGAGGGTGGATCACTTGAGCAGGTGATTCAAAACCAGCCTGGCCAACATGGTAAAACCCTGTCTCTACTAAAAATACAAAAATTGGCTGGGTGTGGTGGTGCGCACCAGTAGTCCCAGCTACTTGGGAGGCTGAGGCAGGAGGATCGCTTGAACCCGGGAGGCAGAGGTTGCAGTGAGCCGAGATCCCACCATTGCATCACATGGTTCTTCAGGAAAAGGAGGAGAGGCCAGGAGGTGGGAGATGGTTCTAGAGAGATTCAGGGAGCCTGTCTGATTCAGAACATTGCTCAGGACTCTTGCTGCAAAGCATCTACTCTAGGTCGTTGAAGCCAAGAAGGAGTTTAGTTAGGGACATTAGGTATTCCCAGGCTTCCTACTAGAGGCCACCCTGCCCAGAGCAATGCCTAAACCAGGAAGTGGGGAGCTCCAGCAAAAACCCTGTGGCCACTGCCATTGGTGGCCATACATGGCAGCGCCAGGAATCCTGTTGGGTACTGGGTGCCAGAAATGTAAGCCTAAAAGCCTCTTCCACCATTCTGGCCAGACAATGGTTTCTGCCTGCTGCCTACTTCTGAATCCAAGTCTCACTGGGTGTCTGATTGACAAAGCTATGTCACATGCCTGAGCCCTAACTGGAAGGGGAGTTGAGAGAGTTTCCGGCTTCCATGTTGAGGAGGCAGGACTTATGATGTTGGAAATTCCCTAAATGTGGAAAGAGTGCTTAAAAGGAAGCCAGAAAAGATGTCAAATGTCGACTACAATCAGAGATGGTTTGCTTGCAACAAACAGAAGTCTACTTGTCCACAAAGATGTCTTTAGTGAATTTCCGAAATGGAACCAGAGAAATGTCATAGAAACAGCTCTAGTAGGGTCTCATGGGAACTAGAGGGCTGGCCAGCAGCTTCCTGCTCTCCATGGGCTTTGTGAGCTCCATCTCTGTGATTCTCACATCAGATCTATTCCTCTCTCTGCTCATGCTATGGTCTGAATGTTTGTGACCCCATTCCCCACCCAATTCATATACTGAACCCAACTCCCCAAGACGATGGTATCAGGAGGTGGGGCCTTTAGGAGGCGATCAGGTCCTGAGAGTGGAGCCCTCATGAATGGAATTAGTGCCCTCATAAAAGAGTCCTCGGAGAGCTCCCATGCCCCTTCCACCATGTGAGGACACAGTGAGAAGACAGCTGTCTATGAAGCAAGAAATGGGCCCTTGGCAGACACAGAATCTATCTCGATCTTGGATTTTCCAGCCTCTGGAACTGTGAGAAATCAATTTCTGTTGTTTGTAAGCCACCCAGTCTATGGTAGAGTGTTATGGCAGCCTGAACTGATTAAAACAATACAACAGCTTCCTCATCTTGCCTTTGGCTCCTGCTCCCCCATAACTTTGACCTGCACATGGCTTTGGTACAAATCCCAGCCCCAAAGCTAGACAGGTTGATGCTCACATGACCTTACTTACTGACCAGTCATTCAGTGCCTATTCCATTTTCACAGAGAAGGAAAGAATCTGTTTAGCTCTGTTTAGGTCAAAGTGTTCATCTGCAGTGCAAACAGCTGTGGCTGGGAGGAGGCGGCAAGACACATGGAGCTCTGAGTGGGGTATTTTTTTCTTAGAGGCAGTGGTTGGTAACACCTGCTGTCAAACCAGGGAAAATGAAAGCTACAACGACTCTCAAAGACCAGGAAGTGCAGTGTCTTAGTCTATTTTGTGCTGCTATTACTAGAGACTGGGCAATTTATAAAGAACAGATATCTATGTCTTACAGTTCTGGAGGTTGGGAAGTCCAAGACCGAGGGTCTCACATCAAGGGAAGGCCTTCGAGAGGTGCCGTCCCACGGCGAAAGGTGGAAGTGTGAGAGAGCAAGATGGGGCTGAACTTGCTTTTGTAACAAATCTCCTTTTGCAATAATGATATTAATCTATTCATGAGAACAGAGGCCTCACAACCTAACCACTTCTTAAAGGGCCCACCTCTCAACACTGTTGCAGTGGGGTTTAAGTCTCCAATATGTGAACTTTGGAGGACATGTTCAAACTATAGTATGCAGTTTCTTCAGTTTATAGTTAAAGCAATGAAAGCGCAGAAGGGCTAGGTGTGTGGGGTGGGAGATAGTACAGTATAGTGAAAAACAAACAAAGGTTGGCATCATTTAACCACTCTGAACCTCAGTTTCCTCCTTCATGAGAAGAGAAGAATGATCCTTACCTTGCATGGCTGTCATATTAAATGGACTAATGTCTATAGCAAGCTTAGCCCTAAGCAAATTCTTTTTTTGAGACAGAGTCTCACTCTATTACCTAGGCTGGAGTGCAGTGGCACAATCTTGGCTCACTGCAGCCTCTGCCTCCCAGGTTCAAGTGATTCTCCTGCCTCAGCGCCACCCTGCCCCCACTGCCTCGCCCCACAAGTAGCTGGGACTAAGGTGCACACCACCACGCCTGGCTAATTTTTGTATTTTTAGTAGAGATGGGGTTTCACCATGTTGGCCAGGCTGGTCTTGAATCCTGACCTCATGATCTGCCTGCCTTGGCCTCCCAAAGTGCTAGGATTACAGGTGTCAGCCGCTGTGCCCTGCCAAGCATTTTTTCATGTTTGTTGGCCATTTGTACAGCTTCTTTTGAGAAATTTCCAATAGCCATTCCTTTTGATTGCTGAGTAGTATTCCATTATATGGCTATATCATCATTTGTTTGCTCATTCAATTCTTGATGGACATTTGCGTTGTTTCCAGTTTTGGGCTATTAAGAATAAAGCTGCCAAAGTCTTTGTATAGGCATATGCTTTTATTTCCCTATGAGTAGAATGGCTGGATTATAAGGTAGGCATTTGTTTGACTTTTAAAGAAACAATCTCACTGTTTCCAGTGGGGAAGTCCTGTTTTGAATTCCGCTGGCCTTGTAAGAGAGTCCCAATGGTTCCACATGTTCTCCAACACTTTGCACCTGTTCTAGCCCCTTCAGGCTACTGCGTCAAAGTTCCATAAACTGAGTAGCTTATAAGCAACAGAAATTTTTATTATCACAATTCTGGAGGCTGAAAGTCCAAGATTGGGGTGCCAGCATGGTTGGGTTCTGGTGACAGCTCTTTTCTGGGCTGCAGACTGCTGTCTTCTTACAGTATGGCCAGTCTTTCTATTTGTAGTCATTCGAATAGGTGGCTACTTTAATTTGCATCTCCCTAACAACCAATTATGTTGAGCATCTTTTCATGTGCTTATTTATCTTCTATCGTTTTTGGTGAAATGTTTCTTCAAATGTTTTACCCATTTATTAATTGGATTGTTTATTTTCTTACTGAGTTTTGGGAGTTATTTATGTATTTTCTTTCTTTCTTTCTTTTCTTTCTTTTTCTTTCTTTCTTTCTTTCTTTTTTTTTTTTTTTTTTTTTTTTTTTTTTTGTGTCATTCTCGCTCTGTCCCCCAGGCTGGAGTGCAGTGGCTCGATCTCAGTTCACTGCAGCCTCCGCCTCCCAGTTTCAAACAGTTCTCTTGCCTCAGCCTCCTGAGTAGCTAGGATTACAGGCATGTGCTACCACGTCTGGCTAATTTTTGTATTTTTAGTAGAGATGGGGTTTCCCCATGTTGGCCAGACAGGTCTCGAACTCCTGACCTCATTATCTGCCCGCCTCAGCCTCCCAAAGTGCTGAGATTACAGGTGTGAGCCACTGCGCCCTGCCAGGAGTTCTTTATATATTTTAGATACAAGTCTTTAATGAGATATGTGACTTACAAATATTTTCTCACGGTCTATTGCCCGTATTTTCATTCACTTTGCAGTGTCTTTCAAAGAGCAGAAGTTGGCTGGGCACGGTAAACTGGTTGAACCTGGGAGGCAGAGGTTGCCGTGAGCCAAGATTGTGCCATTGCTTGGGCAACAAGAGTGAAACTCCATCTCAAAAAAAAAAAAAAAAAAAAAAAAAAAAAAAAAAAAAAAAAAAAAAAAAAAAAAAAAAAAAAAAAGAAAGAAAGAAAAAAAAGAAAGCAGAAGTCTAATGATGTTAAACATTTTGATGAAGTCTAATTTATTATTATTTAAAATTTTATGGTTATTGCTTTTTCTTCTACTCTTTATTTGTCCCAAGAAATCTTTACCTACCTCTAAGTAACAAAGATACTCTCCTGTGTCATCTCCACGAAGCTGTATAAGTTTTAGCTTTTACATTTAGGTTTACGGTCCATCTAAAATGAATTTTGTGTATGGTGTGATGTAGGTGTTAAGATTCTTTTCACTTTCCATGGATTATACTATGCATCCTTATCATGGTCTACCTTGAATGAATCTTATACTTCTTCAACTATAATATAAGATCCTTACGAGAGTACAATTAAATTCACCTCCCTTCTCATCCCTTATGTAATCGTTATCATAGTTTTCATTTACATATGTTATAAACTCTACAATACATTGTTATTTTTGCTTTAAATAGTCACTTGTCTTTTAAGCAATTAAGGTGAGAAAACAGTAGTCTTTTATATTTAGTAACATACTTACCATTTCCATTGCTCTTTATTCCTTCCTGTAGACCTAATTTTCATCTAGCATTTTCCTTCAGAATGAAGAATGTCTTCATTTCTTGTGCAGAAGATCTGCTGGAGATGAATTTTCTCAGATTTTGTTTACCTGAAAGTATCTCTATTGCCCTTCATTTCTGAAGATATTTGCACTAGAGAGAGAGAGAATTCTAGGTTGCCAGGTTTTGCTTTTCATTTAGCATTTAAAGATATCATCCTGTTGTCTTATGGCCTCCACTGTTCATGAGAAGCCAGACATTGTCTTAGTCCATTCAGGCTGGTATAACAAAAATACCATGAATTGGGTGGGTTATAAACAACACACGTTTCTTTCTCTCACTTCTGGAGGCTGGGAAGTCCAAGATCCAGGCACCATCAGGTTTGGTGTCTGGTGAAGGCCCATTCTACAGGTCCCTTCTCTTTTTGTCCTCACCTGACAGAAAGGGAAGGAAGCTCTCTGAGGTCTCTTTATAAGGGCACTAATCCCTTTTTTTTTTTTTTTTTTAAGACTAGGTCTGGCTCTGTGGCTCAGGCAGGAATGCAGTGGTATGATCTCCACTCACTGCGTCCTCTGTCTCTTGGGCTCAAGTGATCCTCCCATCACAGCCTCCCAAGTAGCTAGGACTACAGGCACGTGCCACCACACATAGCTAAGTTTTGTATTTTTTGGTAGAAGACAGGATTTCGCCATGTTGCCCAGGCTGATCTCAAACTCCTGGGCTCAGGTGATCCACCCACCTTGGCCTCCCAAAGTGCTAGGATTACAGGCATGAGCTACTGCGCCTAGGCACTAATCCCATTATTATTTACTCTCATGACCTAAGCACCTCTCAAAGTCTCCACCTCCTAATACCATCACCTTGGGGGTTAGGATTTCAACATATAAATTTGGAAGTTGGACACAAATATTCAGACCATAACTGTGATTATCTTTTACTATTTTTTATTCTATGTAATATATCTTTTTGTTTTGGATACTTTTAAGAAGTTTCTATCCTTGGTTCTCAGCAGTTTGGCTATGATGTGCTGTATGTGCGTGTGAATGCGTTTTATGTTACTTGGGGCTTGCTAAGCTGCTTGTTTTCATCAAATTTTGGAAACTGTCATCAATTATCTTCTGGCCATCTTCTCTATCTTCTCTCCTCTGGGACTCCACATACATGTATATTAGTCTAATTGCTTGAAATTGTTCCACAGGTCATTGAGGCTTTGATAACTTTTCCCCTAGTCTTTTTCTTTTTCTCTGTGTGCTTCAGTTTGGTTAATAACTATTGACCTCTCTTCAAGCTTATAAAGATTTTCTTCTGCAGTGTCTAATGTGCTATTTATCTTGTTCAATTATTTTTAAAATTTCAGCTATTGTATTATTTCAGTACTAAGATTTCTACTGGGTTTGTTTTTAGAGTTTCCATACCTCTTCTAAAATTCAGATCCCGCCGGGCGCGGTGGCTCAAGCCTGTAATCCCAGCACTTTGGGAGGCCGAGGCGGGTGGATCACGAGGTCAAGAGATCGAGACCATCCTGGTCAACATGGTGAAACCCCGTCTCTATTAAA